TTTGCCTCCTGTGAGAGGGGGGGGGGGGGGACCTTTGCCTCCTGTGAGAGGGGGGGGAGGGGGGCACCTTTGCTTCCTGTGAGAGGGGGGGAGGGGGCACCTTTGCCTCCTGTGAGAGGGGGGAGGGGGGCACCTTTGCCTCATGTGAGAGGGGGGGAGGGGGGAACTTTGCCTCCTGTGAGAGGGGGGAGGGGGAGACACCCATGTGTCCCTTGAGAGAGAGAGGGGGGGACATGTTGAGTGGGGGGGGGGCCAGAGGTCACTTACGTAAGTGGGGGGGTGGGGGGGGGAGGCGGTGCTTCTGTATAGGGAGATGAAGAGAGGGTTTGTGTTGGGGGGGGGGGGGGGGGAGGAGTGACAGGCGGCGTGTGTTGTGTGTGTGTGTGTGTGTGTGTGTGTGTGTGTGTGTGTGTGTGAGTGTGTGTGTGTGTGTGTGTGTGTGTGTGTGTGTGTGTGTGTGTGTGTGAGTGTGTGAGTGTGTGTGTGTGAGAGAGAGAGAGTAATCACCTAGTTGTGCTTGCGAGGGTTGAGCTCTGCTCTTTCGGCCCGCCTCTCAACTGTCAATAACTTTTTCTTTATTTTTTTTCACCCCCCTTCCACCCCCGGGAAGCAGCCCGTAACAGCTGACTAACTGCCAGGTCCCTATTTACTGCTAGGTAACTGGGGCATCAGGGTGAAAAACTCTGATCATTTGTTTTTTGCCTTCGCCGGGGATCGAACCCGGGACCTGTTACGGCCCTATTGGGTTGCAACTGGGTTCTTCTCTGATGTTATTAGAGTTTGGGTATCCGGCCCCAAGTTAGTAGTGGCTTTCAAGGGGTGTGTTCCGTAACGCAAGTAAATAAAAGGGGAAGGGATACAAATTCACTAAATTAAATATATATTCACCACCACCAATAAATAAATATATAAACAGTCACACGGGGGGTATAAACACTATAATATACAGTCACTCGTTTTCCTCTGAAGACGCGGAATGTTCCACGGTGTTCAAGACGAGTAGCCCTGGTCCTCTTCTTTGTGGCCTCACGATGAATCCTTAGATTCTCTCGGCGAGTCTACCCCGGCCACAGGCCAGCCAAATCACAGTCCCACTGGGTGCACCGTCGTGGAGGCCTTCAACCACAAATCCAGCCTGTAGCTGGCAGGTTCCAATCAGCTACACTGCGTAGGCCACTCCACGACCGATACTAGGGTTGCGAGCCCTAGGCAGGAGCCTCGTGTGATTCCGCTGATCACTCTCCTCACCACAACACCCCAGTGGCTAGTCTTCTCCACCAGTCAGCCCCGGGTACGACAATTCCAGGTTCTGCCACGTCACAGGCAGGCTAACACAACAGTGTTCATCCGGGGGGTGACTCACAGCTTCTACAGCAAACACGTGGAGAGACTTAGGCTGCCTTGGGTAGACTGCCCCTCATCCGATACAGCAGTCCCAGGTCGACTCTGTAATCAGACACGTCATAAGTGTTGGGGACTCTCTAGGGCACCTCACTCACAGGCTTAGACACAAACGTCCACCTATCCACTCCATAGATGGCGTTGCTGTCTAAGCGCCACCTCACCAGAGGTCAGCAGCGGCTACGTTACCAGCTGAATAGGATGGGAAACCAGCCCCTGTGGCCGGTATATCCTGTCCTCACTAGATGGCGTCGTCCATTCAGAGGGGGTTGTCACATGGCGTGGTCGTCACTGCTCCGTGCTCGGACGCTGGACTTGGGTCCGTAACAGGGCCCCAGGATTATGTGTCCAGAACGCTGTCCACATAGAACATAGCCACAGGCCCCTTACACCCCCATGTGTGTAATCACCTATTTGTGCTTGCAGGATCGAGCATTGACTCTTGGATCCCGCCTTTCCAGCATCGGTTGTTTACAGCAATGACTCCTGTCCCATTTCCCTATCATACCTAGTTTTAAAAGTATGAATAGTATTTGCTTCCACAACCTGTTCCTGAAGTGCATTCCATTTTCCCACTACTCTCACGCTAAAAGAAAACTTCCTAACATCTCTGTGACTCATCTGAGTTTCCAGCTTCCATCCATGTCCCCTCGTTCTGTTACTATTCCGTGTGATATTTCGTCTATGTCCACTCTGTCAATCCCCTTGAGTATTTTATACGTTCCTATCATGTCCCCCCTTTCCCTTCTTCTTTCTAGTATCGTAAGGCACAGTTCCTTCAGACGCTCCTCATACCCTATCCCTTGTAACGCTGGGACGAGTCTTGTTGCAAAAACTTCTGAACCTTTTCCAGTTTCCTTATGTGTTTCTTCAGATGGGGACTGCATGATGAGGTGGCATACTCTAAGACTGGCCTCACGTAGGCAGTGTAAAGCGCCCTAAATGCCTCCTTACTTAGGTTTCTGAATGATGTTCTAACTTTGCCAGTGTAGAGTACGCTGCTGTCGTTATCCTATTTATATGTGCCTCAGGAGTTAGAATAGGTGTTACGTCCACACCCAGGTCTCTTTCTCGCGCCGTCACAGGTAGGCTGTTGTTCCACCCGTGCTGAAGAGTTTGTCTTTGTCCACCCTGTCAATTTCCCTGAGAATTTTGTAGGTGGTTGTCATGTCTCCCTTACTCTTCTGTTTTCCAGAGATGTGAGGTTCAGCTCCTTAGCCTTTCCTCGTAGCTCATTCCTCTCAGTTCCGGGACGAGCCTGGTGGGCATACCGCTGAATCTTCTCTAGCTTTGTCTTGTGTTTAACTAGGTATGGACTCCAAGCTGGAGCTGCATACTCCAGGATTGGTCTTACATAAGTGGTATACAGGGTTCTGAAAGATTCCTTACACAAGTTTCTAAAGGCAGTTCTTATGTTGGCCAGTCTAGCATATGCCGCTGATGATAATGATGATAATGTGTGTGTGTGTGTGTGTGTGTGTGTGTGTGTGTGTGTGTGTGTGTGTGTGTGTGTGTGTGTGTGTGTGTGTGCTGTAAATAGGCCAAAAACTAAATTATCCACATATCCAACATTACCTAGGGGAGAGATGGGGGGAGGGAGGGAGGGAAGAGTGGATAGGGGGGGGGAGGGGAGGTAATGGCCCCTACAACATCTGGAAGATAAGTAACGACGTGTTCCTTCTTCAGCCCCTCCCCCCCCTCCCCCACAGTACTTGAGAGCTATTAAGAGTGGAGGAACTCACTGTGTGTACCGGAAACTTAGCCACAGGGCCCATCTTCCCTATCACCCCCCCCCCTTTCTCTTAACCCCCGCAGAGAGAGAGAGAGAGAGAGAGAGAGAGAGAGAGAGAGAGAGAGAGAGAGAGAGAGGAGAGAGAGAGAGAGAGAGGAGAGAGAGAGAGAGAGAGAGAGAGAGAGAGAGAAGAGACAGAGAGAGACAGACAGAGAGAGAGAGAGACAGAGAGAGAGAGAGAGAGAGAGAGAGAGACAAGAGACGAGAGAGACAGAGAGAGAGAGAGAGAGAGAAGAGAGAGAGAGAGAGAGAGAGAGAGAGAGGAGAGAGAGAGAGAAGAGAGAGAGAGAGAGAGAGAGAGAGAGAGAGAGAGAGAGAGAGAGAGAGAGAGAGAGAGACAGAGAGAGAGAGACACTATCTAGTCTACACTCTCGAGGGCTCTTAAGAGCGGGACACTCTCCCCTACTCACTTCCAACAAGTATACTTTAGTTTACATAGTTTACAACAAATGTCAACTCCCAGTGTATATATATATATATATATATATATATATATATATATATATATATATATATATATATATATATATATATATTATAATATATGTCGTACTAATAGCCAGAACGCACTTCTCAGCCTACTATCAAGGCCCGATTTGCCTAATAAGCACAAGTTTTCATGAATTAATGTTTTTTCGTTCTACTAACCTACCTAACCTAACCTAGCTTTTTTTGGCTACCTACCCTAACCTTACCTATAAATATTAGGTTAGGTTAGGTTAGGTAGGGTTGGTTAGGTTCGGTCATATATCTACGTTATTTTAACTCCAATAAAAAAAAATTGACCTCATACATAGAGAAAAGGGTTGCTTTATCATTTCATAAGAAAAAAAATATAGTAAATATATTAATTCAGGAAAAACTGGCTTATTCTGGCTATAGGTACGACATATATATATATATATATATATATATATATATATATATATATATATATACACCTCTCACTGTATAACTATATATTCCTTGCTTTCACCTAACAACGACGTTCAGCCAATCCGGCTTCTAAGCCCTGTAGTGGAGACGAATTGGGTCGTTACCAGGAGATAACGACGGGTTAGGTCGTTATCAGTTATAGAAGCTTATGCTTCAAAGCCCTGAAGCCCTGAAATAGGGGCCTGACAGCTGAGTGGACAGCGCTCGGTATTCGTAGTCCTGGGGTTCTGGGTTCGATTCCCGGTGGAGGCGGAAACAAATTGGGCAGAGTTTCTTTCACCCTGATGTTCTGTTCACCTAGCAGTAAATAGGTACATGGGAGTTAGACAGCTGCTATGGGCTGCTTCCTGTGGGGGGGGGGGGGTGTGTAACAAAAAGGAGGCCTGGTCGAGGACCGGGCCGCGGGGACGCTAAGCCCCGAAATCATCATCACTATATAACCAAAAGAAGCCCCAATTAAGTCTATATAGTCCTTGGCACCAGCGGTGCCTATATAACCACTTGCACCATCGGGGATCGAACGCGGACTCTGCAGTAAGGCAGACGCGCCCAGAGAAGAAGAACGGGTTGAAGCAGTTAGGAGAAGGGGGTATGGTCGGGGGGAGAGTATGGGGAGCCGAGCGGACAGCACGCTGGACTTGTGATCCTGTGGTCCCGGGTTCGATCCCAGGCGCCGGAGAGAAACAATTTGCAGAGTTTCTTTCATCCTATGCCCCTGTTACCTAGCAGTAAAATAGGTACCTGGGTGTTAGTCAGCTGTCACGGGCTGCTTCCTGGGGGTGGAGGCCTGGTCGAGGACCGGGCCGCGGGGACACTAAAGCCCCGAAATCATCTCAAGATAACCTCAAGATAACCTCAAGATAACCTCAAGATGGTGGTGGTGGAAGACGACACACAGCATTATCTCAACGACCACTGGACACCAACGACCACAACGACCACTGGACACCAACGACCACAACGACCACTGGACACCAACGACCACAACGACCCTGGACACCAACGACCACAACGACCCCTGGACACCAACGACCACAACGACCCCTGGACACCAACGACCACAACGACCACTGGACACCAACGACCACAACGACCACTGGCCACCAACGACCACAACGACCACTGGACACCAACGACCACAACGACCACTGGACACCACGACCACAACGACCACTGGCCACCAACGACCACAACGACCACTGGCCACCAACGACCACAACGACCACTGGACACCAACGACCACAACGACCACTGGACACCAACGACCACAACGACCACTGGACACCAACGACCACAACGACCACTGGACACCAACGACCACAACGACCACTGGCCACCAACGACCACAACGACCACTGGACACAACGACCACAACGACCACTGGCCACCAACGACCACAACGACCACTGGACACCAACGACCACTGGACACCAACGACCACAACGACCACTGGACACCAACGACCACAACGACCCCTTCTTCATGTGGAAGACGACCTACTCCTGTAGGGGGCGGCGCTCCCGGCACCGCCTCCCCCCTCACTAATTTGACCCTTGTAACGAGGGTAAATAAAGGTTGTTATAACAGCGGCATAGAGGCGCGGGGCGCTTTGTGCCGTGGCTGGCGGGAGTGTGAGAGAGTGAGAGCACTCCAGAGCACTCCAAGAGCTCCTCAGAGCTCTCCAAGAGCGCCTCAGAGCTCTCCGGGAGCGCCTCACAGCACTCTTATCTACTGTATGCCCACACACCCCGTCCCCCAACCCCCCCTCTCTCTCAGGTAACCCCTACGATACCCCCCCCCCCTACGACACGGGCAATATAATCCCCCGGTGTGGTGATAGGGCAGCGGCGGGTATCGACGCCGGACACAGAAGGCGGGTGTCGAGGGCTGACCCACAGAGCCACTCCACCCCACCCAGTATTTGCTGGTTATCCAATTTGTACCCATTCACCCAACACCCCAGGAGCCCTCAGGGGGCGCCGCCCCGGGGCTACTGTATGCTCTCCTCGCTTGTGTAAACCTAGCGTAAACCTAGGTGTAGGTAGCCTAGTGTAAACTGACTCTTTCTCAGAATTAGGGGTCTTGGAGCCCGATTCACGAAGCAGTTACGCAAGCACTTACGAACCTGGAGCCAGATTCACGAAGCAGTTACGCAAGCACTTACGAACCTGGGGCCAGATTCACGAAGCAGGTACGCAAGCACTTACGAACCTGGGGCCAGATTCACGAAGCAGTTACGCAAGCACTTACGAACCTGGAGCCAGATTCACGAAGCAGTTACGCAAGCACTTACGAACCTGGAGCCAGATTCACGAAGCAGTTACGCAAGCACTTACGAACCTGGGGCCAGATTCACGAAGCAGTTACGCAAGCACTTACGAACCTGGGGCCAGATTCACGAAGCACTTACGAACCTGTCCATCTTTTCTCAATCTTTGGCGGCTTTGTTTACAATTATTAAACAGTTAATGAGCTCCGAAGCACCAGGAGGCTGTTTATAACAATAACAACAGTTGATTGGGGAAGTTTTCATGCTTGTAAACTGTTTAATAAATGTAAACAAAGCCGCCAAAGATTGAGGAAAGATGTACAGGTTCGTAAGTGCTTGCGTAACTGGTTCGTGAATCTGACACTTGAATGACAGCAGTTCCAGTGTGGTGTGGCGGGCTATTAACGCCGGAAGGGTCGTTAGTGCCCCCCCCCCCCCACCCCATGCAGCTGCCTGACCAACCAGGACTCTCACTGATAAAGACCTTTTGTGCCCTCTGTAATGATTTTTTTGCGCTACCGCTCACAAGATGGGTATGGGGTGTACAATAAACTAGCCGCCTCCGGCGGCAACAATCATCAAAACAAATCTCAGGGGTATACATGTAACTGTGCAATATGGATATGTATACATGCGTATACATACGTATACATATGTATACATATGTATACATATGTATACATACGTATACATATGTATACATATGTATACATATGTATACATACGTATACATATGTATACATACATATACATATGTATACATACGTATACATATGTATACATATGTACTGTATGTATACATATATACTGTTCTTGTGGCCACTCTCAGCACGACTATCTCCACTTATCTTAAGTAGCGTCAATCAGCATGCCGCGTCTAAGTCATATTTACGTCCGGCTAAGTTTGGTTCAGGAATGCGGGGCTCGTCTTAAGAGTGACTCGGCCACCGACACCTTGACTCTTGTGATATATACTCCTGGCAGGGGCTCTCAGGGCTCCCTCAGGGCTGTCAGGGTTCCCCCAGGGCTCTCAGGGCTCCCCCAGGGCTCTTAGAACTTCCCCAGGGCTCTCAGACCTCGCGTGGGCTCTCAGGGCTCCCCCAGGGGCTCTCAGGACTCCCCTAGGGCTCTCAGACCTCCCCAGGGGCTCTCAGACCTCCCCAAGGGCTCTCAGATCTCCCCAGGGCTCTCAGATCTCCCCAGGGCTCTCAGATCTCCCCAAGGGCTCTTAGGGCTCCCCCAGGGCTCTCAGGTCTCTCCAGGGCTCTCAGATCTCCCCCTAGGGCTCTCAGATCTCCCCCTAGGGCTCCTCAGATCTCCCCGCGGCCCGGTCCTCGACCGGGCCGCGGGGACACTAAAAAGCCCCGAAATCATCTCAAGATAACCTCAAGAGACTGATATATCAATCTCAGAATCGTGTCTTAAGGAGTTGATACAATAGGGGAAGAGGGGTAGGAGAAGGGAGGGTTGTGGGAAGGGAGAAGAGAGAGAAGGGGTTAACCATGCAGCGAATAGCTGACAGCTCACAGTAAAGTCCAGCATGACTACAAAGCCCTGACAGAGGTAAAAGCCCTTGTTGGACCGCCGTTAGGAGGAACCATAACAACCCCCCCCCCTCCCCCAAGATATTCTGTAAGTAGGGGAAGGAGAGGGGGGGGGGGAGGTAAGTATGGACTGTTCACTTGAGACAGTTAAGCAAGTCCCAGCTGTGTCTGGGTACAAGTGACAGGATGAACAACCCAGCGGGTTTTCTTCCTATTGGGGAGTGTTGTACATGCTGCTATGGCGGTGTGTCCACTCACAGGATGAGTGGCGCTGCCCAATACTGTCACTATGGCGGTGTGTCCACTCACAAGATGAGTGGCGCTGCCCAATACTGTCACTATGGCGGTGTGTCCACTCACAGGATGAGTGGCGCTGCCCAATACTGTCACTATGGCGGTGTGTCCACTCACAGGATGAGTGACGCTGCCCAATACTGTCACTATGGCGGTGTGTCCACTCACAGGATGAGTGGCGCTGCCCAATACTGTCACTATGGCGGTGTGTCCACTCACAGGATGAGTGACGCTGCCCAATACTGTCACTATGGCGGTGTTTCCACTCACAGGATGAGTGGCGCTGCCCAATACTGTCACTATGGCGGTGTGTCCACTCACAGGATAAGTGACGCTGCCCAATACTGTCACTATGGCGGTGTGTCCGCTCACAGGATAAGTGACGCTGCCCAATACTGTCACTATGGCGGTGTGTCCACTCACAGGATAAGTGACGCTGCCCAATACTGTCACTATGGCGGTGTGTCCACTCACAGGATGAGTGACGCTGCCCAATACTGTCACTATGGCGGTGTGTCCACCCACAGGATGAGTGACGCTGCCCAATACTGTCACTATGGCGGTGTGTCCACTCACAGGATGAGTGGCGCTGCCCAATACTGTCACTATGGCGGTGTGTCCACTCACAGGATGAGTGGCGCTGCCCAATACTGCCACTATGGTGGTGTGTCCACTCACAGGATGAGTGGCGCTGCCCAATACTGTCACTATGGCGGTGTGTCCACTCACAGGATGAGTGGCGCTGCCCAATACTGTCACTATGGCGGTGTGTCCACCCACAGGATGAGTGACGCTGCCCAATACTGTCACTATGGCGGTGTGTCCACCCACAGGATGAGTGACGCTGCCCAATACTGTCACTATGGCGGTGTGTCCACCCACAGGATGAGTGGCGCTGCCCAATACTGTCACTATGGCGGTGTGTCCACTCACAGGATGAGTGGCGCTGCCCAATACTGTCACTATGGCGGTGTGTCCACCCACAGGATGAGTGACGCTGCCCAATACTGTCACTATGGCGGTGTGTCCACCCACAGGATGAGTGACGCTGCCCAATACTGTCACTATGGCGGTGTGTCCACCCACAGGATGAGTGACGCTGCCCAATACTGTCACTATGGTGGTGTGTCCACTCACAGGATGAGTGGCGCTGCCCAATACTGTCACTATGGCGGTGTGTCCACCCACAGGATGAGTGACGCTGCCCAATACTGTCACTATGGCGGTGTGTCCACCCACAGGATGAGTGACGCTGCCCAATACTGTCACTATGGCGGTGTGTCCACTCACAGGATGAGTGACGCTGCCCAATACTGTCACTATGGCGGTGTGTCCACTCACAGGATGAGTGACGCTGCCCAATACTGTCACTATGGCGGTGTGTCCACCCACAGGATGAGTGACGCTGCCCAATACTGTCACTATGGCGGTGTGTCCACCCACAGGATGAGTGACGCTGCCCAATACTGTCACTATGGCGGTGTGTCCACTCACAGGATGAGTGACGCTGCCCAATACTGTCACTATGGCGGTGTGTCCACTCACAGGATGAGTGACGCTGCCCAATACTGTCACTATGGCGGTGTGTCCACTCACAGGATGAGTGGCGCTGCCCAATACTGTCAGACACAGACTGACTCGTCCGGTACACTTTCATACATTACATATTTCATTAACAGGAACCTTGATAACATAATTTTAGCTGACTGCGAGGTACCAGATCCCCCTCCCCCCCCCTCACACCATGACCAGTAACGGGTCTAACGCAGCAGCCAAGCACATATAATTTAGTGCCATCATAACCAGCTTGAACACTATATAATTAAACCATAAAGAAGGCCTGGAGAGCCCGCCCCATCTGTCACACCTGACAACATATGCCACATGTCCTCCCACGGTAAATATTCTCAATTACACACATGACTCTAGGTGCGTACATAATGGGGGTAGAGAGAGAGAGAGAGAGAGAGAGAGAGAGAGAGAGAGAGAGAGAGAGAGAGAGAGAGAGAGAGAGAGAGAGAGAGAGAGAGAGAGAGAGAGAGAGAGAGAGACAGACAGAACTAACAGGGATCCTTATCCAAGTGTGTGGGTATATGGCCTTTGTAAGCCAATCATTCACACCCCGTATTATATCTAACCCAGTCCTCCCCCCCCCCTACACTCAGTAACTAAGTAACTGACACATTAAGTAACACTCAGTAACATTCTGCCGAGGGTTCGAGACCAAGACAAAACACCCAGCACACTATTTGATAAACTGTTCACTTGAGAGAGTTAATTAAGTAAGTCCCAGCTGTGTCTGGGTACACGTGATGAACGACCCCAGCGGGTTTTCTTCCTATTGGGGAGTGTTGTACGCACTCTCGCCCAATAATATCCTTTCTGTTTCGTATATATATATATATATATATATATATATATATATATATATATATATATATATATATATACCATCAACAAAGACAGGATACTTTAAAAACATACGAGTGTTCACTTCTCCTACCCCCTTTTTTATTATTTGTATTGTAAACTCATTTATACCCACAGTTTCATATCTGTTACAACAAGTAGACATTAAGAGGAAATAAAGGGAAGTTTATTTCCTAGAGGCTGTAGATTTTTTTCACACTCCGACGTCGGGCAGGAACCGAGGACGCAGCGAGCATTCCCCCTCTGGATCGCGACACTGAGGCGCTGGAAGAGAAAACTTACTGCTCTAGGGTCTCTTGTAGTGTCAATGAGCTTGGAACCAAGATCCTTAAGAAATCTTCTTGCACTCTCTCCCCATGGGCCTAGGGTCTCAGACCCTATTGGAACGAAGTTGTAATGATGATCTAATTGCCTGTAGTTGGTTGACTCTGTGTCTTTCTCTGTGTGTCGCCGCGGCTCCTGCTTGGCCGGCAGAGAGGTTGATGTATGTGGTTGCCAGCGTGGATACGTATGTATAGTCCCACGCCAACTGTCTGCCATTATTCCAAGGGTGCAGTGTGAATTCTTCATCTGGTCGCCCGGCAAAACTAACAAGAGTTATGTTTCAATAGACTGCAAGGCTCTCTCTCTGCTGGACACTGGGCAGAGGCAAGGCTCCCCTTAATGATGTCTTTAACTTCGACGTGTCGTGAGTGCTAACTGCCTGATTTTCCACAGTGCAGGCCATGCAATCCATATTCGTCTGCAACTGCCTCGCTGCAAACACACCTATGAACAGAAAACACACACATATAACAATCAAATAACAATCACTGTTCGAAGATCTCATCTAGCTCTTCCGTGGGGCGCGTGACCAAGATACAGCAAACATGTCCTCTCTGGATCGACTCCGCACTCGAGTCTCTAGTTTTCCAAATGAGGTCCTCGCCCACCTCCTTTAGGAACTTAAGTGCACATTTACCCCAGGCGCCCAGAGTCTCAGAGCCTATTGGCACGAACCTGTAACAACGTTCTAGGTTTCTGTACTTGTTGGTTTTCTGGGTCTCCCTGAAGGTGGCCGCCCCGCCTCCCTCAGCTGTGCTGTAAGGTAGATAGGTATCAGCCAATGTAGATGCACAGGTGTAATCCCATACGACCTGTTTACCTTCCCTCCATGGCTGCAGGGTGACTCCATCTGGGCGTTTTTGGCTGTTGTCAGGTCTGCACAACTGAGGTTCCCTTTGTGCTGGACACCCAGCTGAAGCCAAACTTCTCTTGATGATGTCATTGACTGCTTCATGTCTGGCAATCTTTCCCTGTGTCTTACGACAGATGAGACCATGGCTGCCGTATTGGTCTGCCCGTGCATGGCCGCAAATACACCGGTGCTCGGTGGAGATAGGGGCGGCAAGGCGCAGAGCAACACCAATACTTAGTGTCCGATGGTCCAGGCGGGTGCCCAAGGCGGAATTAGAGACTGCCAACAGGAAGTCCCCGGCATGGGGGGCTTGCACAGCTAGGAGACACGCTCTGTCCTGAGAAGCTGCCTCCATCAATGCTGTGGCGATGTTCTCCACTATGGGGCTATCCCATTTGGCCTGTTTACCGTCGTTTGGAGAAGTTGGTCGAGGTTGAGAGATGGCAAAGAGTGTCCCACTGGCCGGCTCCGTCCGCGAATTTGGGATCACGAATCCCAGTGGAGTCTCTTAGGTATTCTGGGAGTATTTCATTCACTAATTCACCTGTAACACTGGTCGAGGATAAGAACCCCGGCAATACTAACTGTGTCGCCTTGCGAATACCTAAACTCCTGAGTCTAACTTGGAGCGTTGCTTGGTCCCATTGGGCAGAGAGAGAGTTACAGTCAGAGGTGGAGCAGGAGACGCCCAGGCGGAGGAAGTGAAGAAGGCGCTGGTGGAGGGGGAAGAGAGAGAGAGAGGTGGATCAACAAGATTAAGAGAGCAGCGAGGAGCAAGAGGAAAGGG